GCACAAGTCTCCAGTAAACATTATGCACGTTTTAAAAGAAATTTTCTCTTTTGGCTGTAGATTTCATGGCGATAGAGCAAAAATTTTCACATTTGTTTCGCTGTTTTTCAAAGTACGCAACCATACAATGGAAAAAGATCTATGAAAATGAAAATGACCTTGAAAAACTAGAAAAAAACAGCTTTTGAATGATATAAGCACTGTTTGTGAAAAATGGTTTCTTCCTCCAAAATCGGCAGTTCAAAAAAGGTATCGAAAACGGGTAGAACTTTTGAAACAACCCAATAAATTCTCCATATTTTTTCATCAATCTCGGCGACAAAACTGGAGATATTTCGCAGCTTATTTTTGCACGAATAAAGACGCCTAGTTAGCATATTCTCAATATTATGTTACTACAGTGGCTATCGTACAGATGCAAAAAACACGAGGGCTCATGTACAGAGGTAAGAAACATGAGAATTCGTAGTAGCTGTAAGGAACTCTCACATGTTATGCGGCTCTTTTGTTATATGTAATCGTTGTCCAAAATTCGAGCAGTTTTTAAATTTATCACAAGCATAACTTTGTTAGCAACTCACCTATTGATACATGTGCGGTAACTGCAATCCTCTTCCGGTCTTTGTTATAGAATGATTAAGGGCAAGGGCGCTCTATGGGCAGCATAAAGATTTTTCCGTTAGCTGGCAAAGTGCTGTAAAGTCTTGGGAGATCACTGCAGTGTATTTCAATCCTGTCACAACTACACAGCGCTCATTGCATCATGAGAACTTAACTCAATTCAAGCACGCCGCAAACATAATGGTTTGTTTTGAAAGTGCTATCTGTTTCCTCAAGTTCAAAATTGATGTGAGAGCAAAAACTGTTTACATCTAGCAAACTTTAGTGGTCCTGCTTAGACATAAGGCTTACCTTAACGCGATTTCAGTCGCTGCGCGATATGGCAGTGCAAGGACACTTCATACTGGACGTAATCGCATTTCACTTATGCCAAACTATATGCCTGACATTTGCAACAACTCGCAAAAGCTAAGTTTCTAAGCAGCTGACACCACTGAATCTGTAGACATCTGGAAAATCGCCAAGTCGCGTTGATGTAGCGACTTAATGGAATCGCGGGAAGTTTGCCTGAGGCCTTATGCAGGGTCTTCGCGTGTCAACATGTTTAAACAGTCAAAATCATATTAAAAGAAGATATAGTCATTTTTTCAATCCTATGTTCATGGCAAATTTGGATTACGGTTGTGTGCTGGGGCAAAAATATATTAGGTGGTTCCGAAAATTCGTACCGTTTTTAGACCTCTTCTGAAATCGTTTAGATTATTGATAGACAAAACCGCTCAAACATTATCCGATGCAGAATTTCTTCCTCTTTCCAGCAGCTATGTTTTCATTGTAGATGCTTCGACCAGCGCTGAGATAATTGTGGAAAACTACTTTCATTTTTGCCATGTCTAATTTTCTCTAATTTTCAGAATTTTCATGTTGGACTTTAATGTGCAATAAGCATCTTATAAGGCAAACCCTTTCCAAATCAATGCAATTTTTTGCATTTTTAGCTTCCTTTTTAGAATTTTGCTAAATTATTTTATTAGAGCATTGAATTTTGAAAAAGTCGCGTGACACATAGTTGCACCAAACACTGCGAAATCCTCAAAATGTTGAAGTTCTTAAACTCGGTTATTGCTATCACTAGTATTACAAAGTAAATGAGCAATTACGGGGTGAGAATGGATAGATCTTGGAATTTCGATTACAACCTTGCGCACCCCGTAAATTTGGGAAGTACAGCGACTTTGTCTGCAAAAGTCGCATGTTTCGCAAAGAAAAGGTAGCTGTCAGAAAGAAGAGGGAAAGATGCATCGAATAGTACCTAAACTGTTCAATTTCTAATGTTTTGTGAGGTCAAAATGAGCCTAATTCAAAATTTGGTCACTTCAGAAAATATTTTTTAGTAATTTCCAGAAAGCAAGCTAGAGAGATGTAGAAAACTGCATTAATTTGCGAAAGGTTTGCCTTATCAGTTAGTTATTAGAGCACCTTCAAAGATCTAAAATGAAAATGAAAATTAACGAAAATAGACATGTTAAAATAAAGGGTTCTAGTTTTCGGCAATAATCTCAGCGCTCGTAGAAGCAGTCACAACGAAAACGTAGCTGCTGGGAAGAGGTAGAAATTCTGCATCGGAACTGTCAAAACGATTTGTCTTCTTCATTTTGAACGATTTTAGAATAGGTGTGAGAAACGGCACGAACTTTCGAACCCACCGATTATATTTGACAGTTCAGATCCAGATTTTTTTTGACTCCGATTTATCAGCTAACTTCTTTCTATCACAACGATTTGCTCGAGTTAATTTATATTAGAAAGTAAAGCATGTTCTTTTCAATAGTGGCCTAAAAGCTTTCAGCTGTGTTGAGACTGCATCGCCGAATTTGGAAGAAGAAAATCTTCCAAATTCGGCGATTTGCAAGCCCATTAAATATCCAGAAACTGTGCAGTGAAATCTCAAACAGCCAACTATAGATGGGATCTCGAAGAGAAAAAAAGTTTCCATTGTTAACTTTTTGGTTCTAATTGTGGAAGACATTTCAGAAATATTCTAAAATACTCAGTATTGAACAGCTAGCTTTATATGCAAAAGGTCCTAGCAAGACGTCATACTCTCACTTGTAGAACTGAACAAGGCTTTCCGATTTGTCTACGCGATTACCCATAGAGTCAATTTTTGAGTTTGAAAAATATACATATGATTGAATACGCAATGTGTGGACAATAGCTACCTGTACAATGTTTTTAAATCTTGGCCAAGTAACTGGAATGCACTGAAATTTTGAGTTGGCTTCCGCGCGCTCATTCTGCGAAGTTTGAACAAAAAAGGCTGAAGCCTTTTCTAACCACCGTTAAAAGCACAATTATGCCCCCAAAGCATATAAGCCTAACCTAAGCAGAAAATTTTAGAGGAAAAAAGTTTTCTGTCAAGAGGGCCTGCAACGATTGATTTTGCATCAACTAGTACGAATAAGCGTTTGAATCAAATGATACGTTGTTTGATCTTTGGCGTGACTAGGAAGACATATAATGTAATCCACCCTGTACGGACAAAATTTTTGTAACTTCGCTAGATCAGTACATATGACCGAAATATACTGACAGCCATTTCTGATGATGATATATTGAAACAAATCAGCTCAACCTCTCTATTGGCAGAACTTTTTTTATGACCTAATATAATATCTCGTACAAAATTTTCTTGTCTATCAAATGAATCACCGCAATTTCATTATCTCCTTTGTTTCAACTTTCAGTACATTCATATTGTTGAGCTAGAGTTCTAAATAAAATCAATTTGAATTGAAATGTCCATTGTGCTTGGTTTCATTTCCGCCCAAAAGTGCACAAGAATTATCGGATATTTTGTGGATATAACGCGCATTGATCCTCGGCCAGGACACTGTTCTACAGCGTTTACATAGCTGTTTTTAAGCTTTGATGTGGGGGTGGCAAAATGACTATCCAAGATATGTCAGAGATTCTCAAAAGTGCAAATTGATGCGAATGTTGAAAATGTGGTTAGTTACTACTTAACACCGTTGCTTCAAATCCGCCAGTCAGTCTGACGTGCTACCAAGAAAGAGAAGAATTGACTGCGAATAGGAAGATCTTGCGAAGCATAAGCTTGCTGCTTAATGTTTATTAGATTGCTCACCTTTACCTCGAGTTTTTTAAGCTCGACATTCATTTTTGATAAATTTCTGATTTGTTTTATTCAGAGTCAAACTCTCAAAAAATCTGAGGCTTTTCTGCGAGCTTTGCTTCAAGTCGACTGATGTAGGCTCTTAGGTAATCAAGCTCGACTTTTTTTTGTAAATTTTCCGTATTTTCGGCGACAAACTGAAAGTTTTTTGCAGTCTAATTTTGCACGAATAAAGACGCTTAGTCAGCATATTCTCAACCTTATGTCACTATAGTGGCTATGGTATCATGTACAGAGGTAAGAAACATGAGAATGATGTAGCTGTAATGATCTCTCACATTTTATGCGATTGTCTCGTTTTATGTAATCACGTACATTGTCTAGAATTCGAGTAGTTTTGAATTTTTTCACAAGCACATCTTTTCTAGCAGCTAACCTAATGATGGTTGTGCGGTAGTGTCATTGTTGAATAGAATAACTTGGAATGGGTAAGGGCGCTCTATCGGCAACATAAATATTTCTTCCATTATGTAGCATAGAGCTGTAAAATCTTGCGAGATCATTGCGGAAGTTTTAATCTGTCACAACTGCATAGCTCAACATAGAAATTGATTTTATTCGAGCACGCCGCAGACTTATTGGTTCGTTTTGAAAGTACTACCTGTTTCCTCAAGTTTAAATTTGATGTGAGAGCAAAAAAGCGTGTTACATCTAGCAAACCTTAGTGATATTTTATTTTCCTTGTCCCGCCTAGGGCTAAGGCATCTCACACGATTTCAGTCGCTACGCGATCGGACAGTGCAACGACTCTTCATAATTGGTCGTAATTGCTCTAACTTATGCCAAACTTCATGCTTTTGCAGCGACTCACAGAAGCTACGTTATGCAGTTGAGACCCGCGTATAGCGATTCTGTAGACATTTGGCAAATCGCCAAGTCACGCTGATGTAGCGATTTGAGCAATCGCGGAAAGTATGCCTTAGGCCTTATGCTGGATCCGTCCTCTGCTTCAGGTGGCTGCACACGTTTAAACAATCAAAATCCTATCCTAAAAGATGATATAGTCATTTTTTTCAATCCTATGTTCATGGCAAATTTGTGGTGGGCAAAAATATTTTTTCCATGCCCAGCTTTCGCTAATTTTCAGCATTTTCATTTTAGACTTTTGAAGGTGCTCCAATAACCACCTGATAAGGCAAAACTTTTCCAAATTAATGCAATTTTTTGCATTTTTAGCTTCCTTTTTGGAATTTTGCTGAATTATTTTACTAGAGCATTGGATTTTGAAAAAGTCGCGTTGTGGATGAGATATGACGATCTACCAATCAAGAGATCGCGTATCGACCGCGTGGGCTCCATGGACTATCCCATGGACGCCGCCATTCGTAACTTGCACCACGCCGGAGGACGGTGAGGGGAAAGTCTTTTAATTTTTTGTTTTTCGTGACTTTGTTGTCCAGTTTTCTTGTTGCATTCCTGCGGTTTGTCCGCAGTTTCCTGTTTTGTTGTTCCGTTGCTGTTTATTTTTATAAAACTTGGTTGAAATCGTGTGCTTCTCACAAGGTCTCGGCCGAAACTTATATCTCACACGCAAATATACCACATGGGGGCCGAACCGACCGTTTGAGAGTAGCACAGGAAAAACAAAGCAGCAAGTGAGCCCAGAAGGGGGCGAAAGTCTAGAAGAGGGACTGAATTTCTACTGAACTTCTTCGCGTAACTGCCGTGTAGCCAACTGAAGTGAAAATTTCAAACACTTTTTTGCAGAAGAGGCAAAAATCCACATAAAGTAAAGAGCCATAGTGCAATGCATGAGGAAATGGATACAGGCAAGCCGGAAAAGGTAAGTAGCGAGAAAGAAAGTGAGATAATCAGCGGGATATCAGAACTAATCCGTAGTATCTTTACTAAACTGTCTGAGAGGTTTGATGTACACAGGGTAGCCTTCAAACATAGAGATGCGGTAGAAAAGGAGACCACTCAAATTGTGGAAGAAGCTTTAAGTAGCTTGAAGCTTTTGGAAACAAAAATTGAGAGCGAGAAAGATTGTCAGAAGCAAATGAGGGAAACACTATCGAAAAAGTGGCTAGAAACTTGTGCAAATTTAGATGATTTTCTCACATCTGCTGGAAGAGACAGTGACCTGCAAACAGACTTATATGAGCTGTTAAATACAAATGTCTTCCAGGTCAAAGGGAAGGTACAGCAACCAAAAGCAGAAATGCGGCTCCAGCAAAAAGTACAAATGAAAAGGAAAATGTCTAGCGTCAAGGTAGGAGGAATGACTACACAGTATGCGAAATTATGGAAAGAGAGCCGATCATTCAGAAAATGCACCAACCAATGCCCCAGAGCAGAGGACTGGTTCGCACTTTGAACAGCACTGCAATCAGCGTTCCCCGAGCTTGGAAGAAAGAGGAAAGCCGATGATGGAAGTTCAGACTTACAAGGATTTCTTACAATCAGCAGCGCTTGTAGATCCAGGGCTGTATGGGGGTGGAGGCGAGTGAAAATTTTGGCGAGTTTGTTATGAGATTTCGTAGAAAGTATGGTAAGGTAATTGGGGAAGACCAACTTCTAAAGAAAATCTTGGCAGATGACCATTTGAGCGGTAGGGCTAAAAGTGTTTACTTAATGCTACCAACCCAAGTCAAAAATTTATCTTTTGAGTGGTATTGAAGAATTAGGTAGGGCGCTTGCCTGCGATTCGACAGCGGCAAGACTTCAAGCGTTAACCGAGCTCAGGAATTTGAAAAAGCAGGCCAAGGCGTAGCAGAATTCTGCGTCGTGCTAGAAAATCTGGGGTCGTAAGGCAGATCAAGAGGGAAGCCTGGAGAGCAAATCAATGGAGGCAATGGTTCTGTTGAAGAGCCTACAAGATTGGCCGGAAGTCTCCAACTAGTCAGCATGCTACATAAAACAAAACCAGCGTTAGCATACGAAAAAATCAAAGAGCTCGCCATCAGCATCGAACAATCATTGGAAATGTATGAAAACGACAACCACAGACAAAAAGGGTAGAGAAGTAGGACCAGGACTATGCAAAGATAAGAAGCTATCAGCCACCTTACCAGAAGAGGCACGCGGTAGGAGCTACTCCATCTAAACTAGCGGACGCCTCTATGAGAGAGGACGCAAAGGAATACCCAGAAAAGCGAAGATGGGAGCTCCAGAGCAAGAGTCCCACAGTCAACTGGAGCGCAAACGTTCTTAACCCGGAGAACGAAGGCAGAGCGACTGAAAGGCATTTCGACAAGGGGGCAAATCTGGAGAAGAAAGTGTCGAAATGCCATGTCGAAACGTACCTTGTTAACGGCAAGTTTATTGGGAATCAAGGTAGAAGCCGTGGTAGACTCAGGGTCGATGATAAGCATCATCCCACTTAACGTATTGGCTTCGGCGTACAAAAATGGCTATGACATAGCCAGTTTGGAACGATTAAAAGAAGAGAATATAGACGTCATTTACGATGCGTTCAACAACGTAATGAACTTCTTGAGTGGTGTAAGGACACACACGACGATAAGCGGAGGCCGAACGGCTGAGAAAGCCTACTACATTTCACAAGAAGATAGTTTAGAACTTCTACTAAGTATCAACTCCTTGAATATGTAGGGATATTACTATAGCAGTCACACCTGAAAAGAAGGAAAGTAAGCCACAGACACAGGAGCAAAGAGCTGTGGTAAAAGCGTGAAAACGCGCTGTGATTCCACCGTATGACGCTAAGTTGGTAGAAGCGAACTGCGAAGTTTTAGGAAATAAAGACAGCGTGTTTTTGTCAACATAGAAAGGAGTGACAAGTGGAGTATTCAAAATTACAAATCAAACCTTGTCTATACCTGTCCACAACCATGACGAGACTGCGTTAGTGTTGCGCAAGGATGACGAGCTTGGCGAACTCACAACTGAAGGTTGGGTGGAAGAATGGGAAGAATGCTCTATACTGAATCACGACAGGGTGAAACTAAACCAAGAGGAAAAGAAGACCTTCCTCCGAAAGCAGATTGGCCAGAACAGGAAGGAAAAAGAGGTTGAGAGCGAACTGCAAGAAACTTTGGAAAACTATAGCGACACGTTTGCAGCATGCGACAAAGAGTTGAGGCAAACCGACCTGGTCAAGTAAATATAGAGACAGACGACCATGAACCGATCAAGTTGAAGACACGACCAGTCTCACTGAGAATTCGTGCGAAGCTACGAGAGATGTTAAAGGATTTGGAACAAAGAAGGGTGATCGAGAAAAGTACTTCCGACTGGGCGTTCCCAATAGTGCTTCTACAGAAGAAAGATGGGGAAATACGGCCATGCGTCCACTACCGGAAGCCAAATAAATGTGTTCGGCAGGACTCCTATCCTTTACCCACCACAGACGCGATATTACAAAGCCTGGTAGGAAAGAAATATTTCACCACTTTGGATTTATGTAGTGGTTATTGGCAAATTCCCTCAGATGAAAGCACAAAACATAAATCGGCTTTCACGACGCCCGAAGGCTTATTTCAATTCAAAGTAACTCCGTTTGGATTAAGCACAAGTCCCGCCAAGTTTCAAAGATTGATGGACACTGTTCTAGAAGGACTGATAGGGGAAGAAGTATTCTGCTACATTGATGACATTATGATCTGCACAGAAACGAGAACAAGACATTTGGAGCTCCTCCAGAAATTTGAGGACGTATGAGGAACGCAGGACTCATGCTGAACGCTCGAAAATGCGTTCTGCTGCAGAGCTCAGTGTCTTTTTTGGGATATAAACAAAGAGATAAGTCCACAGTAAGAAAGAATATTCCAAGAATTTCAAAATATCCGAAAGGTAACTACTGTTATCGATGCGGAAGGAGTACACATCGATAAAACGAAGGTTAAAGCAATCATAAATTACTCTACACCAACCGATGTCAAAGGATTGAGAAACTTTCTAGGAATGGCATCTTTCTACAGAAAGTTTTGTTTACATTTTTCGAAGATCGAAGCCCCCTATTTGGACGAACATTCACAAAAGAAGAGTGGAAGTGGGGGAGAAGAACAACAGGAAGCATTTCAGAAACTGAAAATGATGATCTCGTTAGCGCCAGTATCGAAGAAGCGCGTTGCGGAAGATGACCCTATATTATATTCACGGACGCTTGTACAGCAGCCGGATTGGGGGCTGTCCTCTCACAAGAGGGAGAGGACAAGCAAATTTATAGTAAGATTCACAGTAAGATTCCCAGGGACAAGGGAAAATGTAAAGATAGCAGATTTTGTGCTGGACAATGGCCATCTCAAAATGTACAAGGAGGACGGTTCACTAGAGTATATAGTCCCGAAAACGGCACAATACAATGTGTTTGAGGAAGCACATGCTGGAACACTAGCAGGCCACTTTAGCGCACATAAAGTGTTATAAAGGTTAAGGAAGAAAGTATTCTGGCCGGAAATGGCCAAAGACATCAATAGGTGGGGCGTCAGAATGCCAAAAGGCTTTCTCAGCAATCCCAAGGTTGCGATAGTACCCCAATGAAACCCATCCACACAACCAAACCTTATGAGGTTGTAGGCGTAGATTTGCTAGAGTTAGGAATGACTACTGCGGGGAACAGATGCGTAGTAACAATGATTGATCACTAAGTTCGCAACAGCGTATACGGTACCTGACAAGCCGGCGGAAACTGTAGCAAAAGTTTTGTTTCTAAGTTGGATCGCTGACGGCTGTAGATGGCCTAAAGCAATCCTATCAGATAAAGGCGCAGAATTTGACAATAAAGTAATGCAGGAAATTGAGAAATTTTCAAAAATTGAACCATTTTTACTAAAGGCTATAACCCACGGGAAAATCGGATTACAGAAAGGCTTAAGGCACTATTGTAGCAATGTTAAGGAAAACAACAAAGGTCCCCACAGAATGGGACATGAGGCTACCATTTTGTATGCTAGCCTACAATATGACCCCCCCCCCATGGATCGACGGGAGAAAGCCCCTTTTACATTCTTCATGGGATGGACCCTACGTTCCCGTCGAACATCATTCCACAGGGTAGCATATCGAGGTACGTAATGGAAGAAAGCATGGAAGACTACAAAGTGGCAATTATGCAAGGTATAAATGAGGTACAGGAACGAATTCGCGCACACAACGAGAGAATGCGGCAATGTACGAAAAAGACTATGACCATAACTACAAAGTGGACACTGCTAAGCTTCCTAAGGTGGGAGAAAGAGTTTATGTGAGAGCCCCAGCAGAAAAAAGCAAAAGTTCCCACCCAAAGTTGACTAATGATTGGGCTGGTCCATTTAGAGTACTGCAAGCTAGTAAAAATTTAGCGTTGATAGCAAATATAGTAGAAAATAGAGAACCAATAAAAATCTCCACGATCAACTGCGCGTATTACCTGAAGATTTCCCTGAGGAGCCTGTTAGTACAATTACTTTGAGAGGGAAAAGAGGGAGAAAGAAAGGCCAGGTAGATGTGCGAAAAACTACAAGTATTTTTTTCAGAGATGCGAAACTTACAAAACCTTGGATAGCATATTGTTTTTCATACTCATATTGGACTCGCGCTCGCTCTACATTTTACCAAGTTCTTAAATCATCAGTTTACTAAATCTTCTCTTCTTAAGTAAAAAAGAGCCAGGACATCTGATGTTTGACTGCCTCGATGGCTGTCTACAAAGCACGAAGATTTCTGAGATTAGTGGAGTTACATTTCCTGGAGCCTTTGCGAATGAATCAGTCGGCCGCATCTGGAAGGGCTGGATAGCCAGTAGTGTCTTTAAGAGAACGGACATAGACCTGGCGACAAAGGTAAAGTACTTTCGAAGAGGAGTCATTAGCTTTGAGGAAACTGCACTCAAACCAGTTCGCAGATTGGCATATAACCGCTGTACTGAATGGACGGAGTTCCTGTGAGCACTCAAAGAATTCAAGTTCATGCCAAAATTGGAGAATTTGCAGTTCAATCGATGTATGATGAAGCATTACGGCAGCTCAAGAAGGAGTTCGCAGAAGAAAGCGCGGCAACTATGCAGCTGAAGAAGGGCCCAGTTGGATTCGCAGCCCCAGAAAGCGCCGCAATCATGGAGAAAGATGGTATGAAGAATGGAATCCAGGTAGCCGTAGTAATGAACTTCGCAGAACTGAGGGAACTGCTCAACGAGTGGCGAAGTTTTGGTACATGGCATAACGTGATCAATCGATGAGAGATGGAGCAAATGAACATGGAAGAAGTGTGCCGAGCGGTTTTTAGTTTCGAGAAGGCGGACGTGTAATCACGGCCTGAACACCTTGCTATGAAAATGATTTTGACGAATGGAAGAACATGAGAAACACTTGGAAGACCCTGGACGAAACCATAAAACAGATGGCTAACAGTGCACAATTTTTCAACACATCCGGAGCAGTCACCTTCAATAAAAAGCTCTACGCAGAATTTGGATCATCGGAAACGAG